TGCTTAAAATTGTATAAATATAAAAGTAAATACCTTTATTATTTTATATACAGGGTATAGTAACTCCTGTGTTGTTTATTTTGTGATTTTTGTTTTTGTTTTTGTTTTTTATCTTTTATCATTGATTAATATATTAACGAAGTAACCTTGGCCTGATTCTTAGTTTTCTTGAATCTGGTATAGTCTTCTCCATTTGAGTTGCTCTGCTACAAGGAAGACTTAACCAAGATTTATTTAAAATTGTTAATAACAATGTATCTTATAAGAGATAGCACAATATAGGAGTTTTGTTTTCTTATGGTTCCAAAATAGGGCCAGGTATATTTTACCAGCATTCAATTGGTGGTCATTTAAGTTTGTTACTAGTTTTTCATAGAACTTCTGGATTAGAGGGCATGCACAGTTAAATTTTTATGTATCTGCCAAACTGTCCCTCAAATCTGTGGCCTCATCAACAAGATGTTATAGAATCTGTTTGGCCATGCTCTTTCCTTCTAGTTTATCTATGTTGTCTCTCTAGTCTCTGAAAAATTTTGTGAATTTGGTAAAATATATATAATTATTTTTCATTCAAGTCCGCATTCTTGGAATTAGCTCAGAGTCTTACTACTAACAGGTACTTGATTTAGACAAAAATTGAAATCTATATCTGGTGTTCTTTTAGTTAACTGAAACTGAAAAATGTTTAATTTTATTTTTTCTTCTAAATGTTTGGAACTAATTTAATACTCTATTTTTCAGGAAATCATTTAATATTTCTCCATCTTTCTTTAGTGGAAATTAACAAAATAACCAATTAGTTATATTTAAAGTGAAAATCTTCATTTTCAGTAACTTTATTTATTTTTTAAATATGTTTTATTGATTTTTTTACAGAGAGGAAGAGAGAGGGATAGAGAGTTAGAAACATCATGAGAGAGAGACATTGATCAGCTGCCTCTTGTCACCCCCTAGTGGAGATGTGCCTGCAACCAAGGTACTTGCTCTTGACCAGAATCGAACCCAGGACCTTTCAGTCTGCAGACCGACGCTCTACCACTGAGCCAGACCGGTTTTGGCCATTTTCAGTAACTTTAAATTACATTATACCAGCTTAAGATGTGTTTAATATATTCACTGGTAGTACCAATATAAAAATGTTTATAGTTATTTGAATGCATTTTATTCTTTAGCTTTTTATTAGCTTGATGCATAGTAAAGAATTGCTCAACCATTGAAGTTATAGTATTTGACAAATCTGCAACAATTTTGCTGAATAAGCCAATGAACTATTTATATTAAAAAATAACTCATGCAGTAACTTCTATTAATTAAAGCTTGGAACAATTTAAATGATTGAGTGAACATATTTTTGAGGCTGAGTCCTTATGATTTATCAAAAATATCTTATTAAAGAACACCATTTACTTCCGGTTCTTTTAGTTGGTCACTTTCATTAACAGTGGTATTTTGTTCATTTTTCAAATTGCTATCAATGAATTTATGCCAACATTATTTAGAACATGCTTGAAGAATTTTACATTTTAATGCAGTTTTATTTATGATGTAGAATATATTTTGAAATAATTAAAGCATTTTGTTAATAAAATTTTAAATGTAGTAGAACACATCATTTTTATCAAGCTTTATTGAAAACAAAATAGTTTTAGGGACAGTGTGGAACTTGTTCCTTTTAGATGGGTTGCGCTCCAACATCTAGGTCAAGAGAGAATAGTGCGTAGGTTTCATCAAGGTTATTTTAGCTCCCTTTGCTTTTAAAACAGGAATAAATGTGGACAATTTTACTTTCTGTGATCTAGTTATCTCTCTTTTCATAAACTATTCTGCAATATCAATTGAAATCTAGGTATGATAAATAACAGGCATTGGGAAAAGGTTCTGGATTGTAAAAATAACACTGATCTTAGCTGAACCAGATTTATTAATAAGCAGCTTTACAGATTTGTGCATTCTCTCCTTATTCCCCCACTGCATTTTGTTGCTTTTATTATAGCACTCCTTAGAATCTACAGGGCATTGCGCATATACTTCCTTGTTTCTCTTTTTTCTACTATAACGTGAGCCTGGAGTACTAGATCTGTTTGTTATTCATCTTTCTATTGTAGATAGGGCCTGGCACATAATTGATATAATGTTGACGTCAAGTGATCTTGGCAAAATAATAGACTGTGAAAGTTATTCTTTTTGATCATCTTAGCTACTAAAAACTATTCCTTAGATTTTCATATTACTTCAATGAATCTGTTTTACATAAAAGGATCCCATGTGCTTGTTAATTTGTTTATAGAGAATTGTTTTGTACAGTTGGAGGGTAATTATTAATAGTTCACCATCTGTTTCTATTTACCAGTCTTTCCATCTCCATATTCAGTTACTCTAAGCCAGATATTTTATTTATTTATTTATTTTTAAATATATTTTATTGATTTTTTACAGACAGGAAGGGAGCGAGATAGAGAGCCAGAAACGTCAATGAGAGAGAATCATCGACCAGCTGCCTCCTGCACACCCCCTCCTGGGGATGTGCCCGCAACCAATGTACATGCTCCTGACCGGAATCGAACCTGGGACCTTTCAGTCCGCAGACCGACGCTCTACCGCTGAGCCAAACCGGTCTCGGCTAAGCCAGATATTTTATATGAGATTATCATTCCACTTAGATTTTGATGACTTTGAACTTTTTGGTTTTGATTTTTTTAAATGTGCAGAATGTTCTGTAATCTTTTGCAAGTAATTTTCGTGGCTTAATTTGCATTTGGGTGCCTTTCCTTATAAGGCACTGTGCATTGTTGGTAAGTGGAAGTATGAGCTGTCTGTCTCAGATTTCTTTGTAAAATTCATATTTTTGTTTTTCTCCTTTGAAGTAACTCAGACTTTACTTTCCTATCAACATGAGACTTTAAACTCTATTTTAATTCTAACAAAAATGGGGAAAGAGGACTCATTTTTTTTTCTTTTTACCTCCCTTTATATCATTTTACCCTCCCTCACTTATAAAATGATCATCTAAATTTCATCTACATGCATTTAGAATAGCATATAAAACAGAGTATTATAAATTTTTGTTTGATTATCTTTAATTATAGTTAACATTCAGCCTTATTTTATATTAGTTTCAGGTGTACAGCATAATGGTTAGAAAATCCTTTACAAAGTGTCTCCCCAATATTTTCAGTACCCAATTGGAACCATACATAGTTATTACAATACTAGAGCCCCCATGCATGAATTTGTTCATGGGTGGGGTCTAGCTGGCTTGCCCTAATCAGGGCCCAATTGGGGCTGGGCTGGCTGGGTGTGGGAGGAGTAATGCGGGAGATCAGGCCGCCACCGCCCCCAATTGGGATGGTGGGGGTGATCCGTGGCCGGAGTGTGCATCAAAGCAACCAGTCATTCCGGTCATTCAGGTGTTCCGGTCGCTTGGCTTTTATATATATAGATTAATGACTATACTAGTATTCCCTAGGCTGTATTTTACATCCCTGTGACTGTTTTGTAACTACTTTTTAATCCCTTTACCTTCTTCACTCAGCCTCTCAACCCCCTCCCCTTTGACAACCATATGTCAGGGCTCTTAGTAAGTAAATGCTTACTGTGTTCCAGTATTGTGGTGAGCGATATATATATATATATATATATATATATATATATATATATATATATTCATTAGATCACTAATTGCTTAATAATTCATATAATCCCCACTTACAATAAAAGAATATATCTTGGCCACTTGGCCTCTGTTTTGTTTCTGATACAGATCAAAGAAAATAGTTTACAAATGGGTTAGTGGAAAATACATTAGGACTTTTATTTCTGCCAATGTACTCAATTAGCTATCGTTTATACTAACTAGCCTACCTGTTATAAAACACCTGGAATATTATAAAGGTTCTTTTAAATGTATAGCTCAATTTGCCAAAAGGTAAGAGGATTTCATAAGTGCCACAGAATGAAGAAGTAGCTCAGAATACTTGTTTCTTCTGAAGCTGCTGATGCCCAGGGTCTTACTGAGCTGTGGGACTTAGAGACTTGTGTTTAACAGTTATTGGGAACAGGGCAAGGCTGTGGTTGGTCTGTTCAGGTTGAAGAATTAGAACCTCAGACAGCTCTGCATTCACTCTCATCACCCAGGATAAAATATGAAGCTTGATCCTAAACCATTAGGTAAAGGTATTTAAAAAATGAAAGAGGAAATTAAGACCAAGAGATCAAACATTTCTAGGAAAATTAGAAATTAGGGAAGTAACAATAAATCTAGGAGTCTATGAACTGAGAAAATCTCAAAGAATAGGAAAAGTAGAGCAATATCTAATAACTAATCCCAATATCAATATCTAATACCAATTCAGCAACATCAATGCTAGTGACAGCAGGGAGCAGGCTTAGGAAGGCAACAGATGAAAGCCCAGTTGGAGAATCAGCCAGTTTATTTTAGATCTTCCCGGGTTTCAGTCAATTTTGCATTACCTTCACAATTTTCAGTTTTCACACATTGTCTAGATTATTAGTGACAATATTTTCAAATAAACTTATGTTATGCTTATGATTCATTTTTTAAAGAAACCTTCTATTGATATATCACGTGAAATATGGAAACCCATAATACTTGTTATAAAGGATATGTATCTGTAAACATTAATTTAAAAAGAAAACAGTTATAATCGTTACCTGTTAGTGAGTGTGAGGTTTGTCTTCTGCCATACAGCAGAAAAAACAAGCTTTAAAGGATATTGAGGACATCACATCAGCAATAAGAGGAAATCGAAAAAGAAGCAGAAAGGAAATATACTGTCTGCAGAGGATTCTGTGTTCTGGGTGTGCCATGTGCAAATGTATTGGTAACAGCAGCATCACTAGTGAGTGTGAAATAATCTGAGAAGGGAAGTGTGATTGTATGTGTATGAGGGCCTGTTTTTCAGTCTTCAACCTTTGGAAGCTATTGCTCTAAGCTTCCTATGTTGATATGCTCTTTTTTTTTTTCTCCTTTCTATTTAAAGCTCTTTTAAGAGCCTGTGCTGATGGAGGTGCCAACCGCTTATATGATATCACTGATGGAGAGAGGGAACGGTAAGCTTTCTTTAAGCCAATGTCTGTGATACCATTAATTCTCATCTTCAGTTTGTTTACTCTCTTCTTAGTCAGTGGTGACTGTTACTCTTGTCAAAATTAACAGGAAACCTTCTCAGTGAGAGAAAGAGCTGCTTAACCATGTTGTGTCATTTCTTCGTTTTGAATGGTAGCTCTTAGTAGAACTAGGCCAATCATATTCTTATTAAAACAAACAAACAAACAAACAAACAAACACCAAAACACTCCCAACCATTCTACTTCTAAAGCCTCAGTGAGTAGCATTATCCAATATCGGTATTTTCAAGGCCTTTGAACATTGACTAAATAAAACTCATACTAGTAATTGGAGTTGTTATTCAGTTTAAATAAATAAAAAGTGATCTGTAAACGAAATACATGTTCTGTTGTAGAAGATTTTTATATTAGTGTTGAGTAAAGCTCAGTATAGCATACTCATAGTCACTTCTGAGTTATGCCCACACATATTTTAGGAGATGAATAATTTTATAATGATTTGTTATGTGTGTTGTCTGGCTTTCCTGATCTTTGCATGGTGAGTTATTTTTTTTTTAAAGAATACATTGATGAAAGTAAAATTTAAATCTAGCTCATAATCAACATGTTTATAGTTGAACCTCTTGGCAGACATAAAAATTTATAGTTAAGATATAAGTAGACTAGGTATGAAATTTAGTTTTACTTCTGTCACATATGTTATTAAATCACTCCCTTGCTGCAAAAAATCAAATGAAAATATTATGATGCAACATACTCTAGGTGTGAATTAAATATATTTTGAAATGTAAAATACATCTTTATATAATAGCATTAAGTTTTTTAGCTTCAGGTTTCTGAAATTGAAGGAAGGCCTGTTTCCTTTGAGATTGGAGCTTAATCAAAGAATATAGCAATATCAGCCTACAAAATAATTGAAACTCATAACATTTTGTGTTTCTTTATTTTAACTTATAGATTCCTGTAACTATGTTCAGTAAGACCTGTCCTAGACAGTGTCCAAAACACATACACACAAAAACAAAAACAAACCAACTCAAGAATGTGTTATAAAAAGTGCCTAGGCTAGTTCATTCAGGGAAAAGCGTAATGCATGTGAGTCCAAGATGATGGATTGGGTCATGTTTGTTTCTGCCTATAGCCTCAGTGCTGGCGGGCAATCTAGTACTGAATACTGTTTCTCTAATTGTAGGTGTAGCTCATGAACATAAATCACAAACAAGAGTTGTGGAAGGATGCTATCTAGTACTTCTCAACTCTTCCATAATCATAAGAATCATCTAGAATGCTTGTGAACAATGTATTTCTGTGCTGATTACTTTAATTGGACTGAGTATAATTCACACTTAAAAGCAAACAGATGACCAGATTTGGGGAGTGAGTACCATTATTTGTGCCAAATTTCAAAATAATAGTTTCCAATATTTCTTAACACATTTAGAAGTAATCTTATGAAGACTTCCAAGATTTATCTAACAACCATTTGTCCATAAGTGAAGATGTTCAAAAAGAAAATATACTTTTAGTTGATTTCCTAGTTGTAATAATATATTTGCCATGATTCCTACTCTGGTACTTGGGGATTTGGCTGGCCTGAGTAAGGGCTGAATCTCTAACAGGGAGTTGAGTGAATGAACTGTATGATGTTGGAATTAAATCTTTGCATTACCGTATCTTATTAATCCAAACACTAACTTGTGAAACTAATTGGATACAGGTGACTGAACATGATTTCTATTAATTGTATTTTTAATAGAAAGGCTTCACAATGAGAAAAGAAGACAGTATTCATGAGTTTTAAAAGCCAAGCATGGTTTGTGGACCATGGCTTTGTTAATTCTTATTGATTTATTTATTTAGTGTCCATTTCTACATGTAATACTTATCACTATGCAATAAAAACAAGAATGTTTCAAAAATCATCTCCATTTGCAGTCAGAATGAGATGCTTATGCATTTAGAATGGAAGGAGAGCTGGTGTAGAGAGTCACAGAGGAGGAGGGTCTGTGGAGATTGAGCTGAGGCAAAGATCAGTGTAGCCCTAAATCTAATTTTCCACTGAAGCATCCAGCCCTTTGGACCACTTTCATAAATGCCATCTGAATTTTGACTCCGAATCGGCCTCTTTCTATTTACCAAGTGCTTTTTATTCTGTACTAGAGGCCCAATGCATAAAATCCGTGCATGGGGATGGGAGTGTTCCTCAGCCCAGCCTGTACCCTCTCCAATCTGGGACCCTTCAAGAAATGTCCGACTGCTCGTTTAGACCCAATCCCTTTCAAAACCCAGGATTGCTGGCTCCCGACTGCTCGGCTGCCTGCCTTCCTGATTGCTTCTAACCATGTCTCCCTGCAAGCCTGATCACCCCCTAATAACTCCCCTGCCAGTCTGTTTGCCCCTAACTGCCCTCTCCTGCTGACCTGGTCATCCCTAACTGCCCTTCCCTGCAGACTTGATTGTGCCCAACTGCCCTCCCTTGCAAGTCTGGTCCCTCCCAACAGCCCTCCCCTGCTGGCCATCTTGTGTCCACATGGGGGCAGGATCTTTGACCACATGGGGACAACCATCTTGTGTGTTGGAGTGATGGTCAATCTGCATATTACTCTTTTATTAGATAGGTTAGAGGCCTGGTGCATGGGTGTGGGCTGGTTGGTTTGACCTGAACGGTGTCCCAGATCAGGGTGGGGCGTGGGGCAGCCTGGGCGAGGGGCCTGTGGTGGTTTGCAGGCTGGCCACGCTCCCTGGCAACCCAAGCGGAGGCCCTGGTATCTGGGGTTTATTTTCTACAATTGAAACTTTGAAGCCTGGAGCGAAGCCAAGCCTTCTGCTTGCTCAGTGGTGGCAGCCATTTCTGTTGGAACTTATGTATCTTCTATAATTAAAACTTTGTAGCCTTGAGTGGAGGCCTGGGCCAACCAGTGTGTGCTGAAAGCTTGGCTTCCTCCATTGCCGGAGGGGGGGAGGGGGTTAGGGTGAGGGAACAGTCAGGAAAACATATAATGGACATCACCAATGATAGGTAGATCTTAGTTTTGGCTGTGGACATGGGATTAAAAAGGAAGAAATTTTAGGGAGACTCAGTCTTTATACTATATTATCCTACTCTTAATTAACTGTTTTCCTTACCTAAGATATCTGTTTTTCAAAAATGTGGGGTAGTAATGGGATTATATATATATAAGTCCTGTGGTGGTCTCAGAACATCCTCCCCCTGCCTTCTGCCAAGTAGGTAAAATCCATATTGGTGAGAACCAGGGTGGTAAAGCATGGCCCCATTATCAGGATAATCACAGGCTATAGAGATGGGAGGTGATATTTCAGAGAATACCAGAGAAGCAGGTAAGATTTCCTAGGAAAATTTTAGAGATCAGATTTTTGTTTTTGTTCATCATCCTCATCACCAACAGGCATTGGAGGTTTATTTAATTTTTCTAGTGACGATTTTATAATACTATATTAGCTCAGAAAAATGCAAGCTGTCCACACCAAAGACTATTGTAAGATTGTTATTTTCGTGTACTTGGTACATAATAATGATTCTGGCAGGGCGAAGTCTCCATCCCCTTCCCAGCTTCAGCTTCCATTGCTCTCCTCCTCTGCCTGTTTTTCCTAATTCTGCTCCTGTAACACATACTAAGAGAAGTACATCATCTGCTCTATTGACTTGCTCACCAGCTCCTGAATATAGGCACCTGTGGCAGTATTACCAACCTTTTCCACCACAAGAAATGTGAAGAACAAGCAAGCATATAAAGAAGTGTGCTTTTTGATATTACAGTTCAGTGAGTTTTCATGAAGGGGAACACATGAATGTCACCAGTCCTGGGATCAGTCAGTAAATATTACCAGCATTGCAGGCCTCCCTCTTGCTCCTTGCCATTGATGTCTCCCCTGACATAATTGAGAGACTAATTTTGCCTATTTTTAGACTTTATAAAATACAATAATGATATATTGTATAATATTTTTAGCATATGGACCTTTTGAGGGGATATAGAATTTATAGGTCACTGAATCTGAAAAAGCATTAAGAAAGACTGTAATTTTTATAGGAGAACTAAATGCCCCTTGCAGGAAGATTCCTGCAATAGGACTTCCTGCTGCGGTCTCCACTGCCCTGCCTGCTTCTCTCCCTTCTCCCCACCTTGCCTGCTTCCCTGCATCCTCTGCCACCCCACATGCTTTTCGGCAGCTTTTAGCTCTGGCCTGGGTATGCAAATTATCCACCATCTTGGTTGAGTTAATTTGCATACTCACCCAGATTGGCTGGTGGGCATGGCTTGTGGGTGTAGTGAAGGCATGGTCAATTTGCATGTTTCTCTTTTATTAGCGAGGTTTATGGACACACTAATGATGATAAGAGGTAGAGGAAGTGATGGAGTCAAGAAGAAGGGAGTAAGAGTTGTACAGAAGCAAATTTGAATCGCAAAACCCAGAACACAACAAAAGTAGTTTGGCTATGGGAGAAGTCATTTTTGTTTAATATTATTTTTTTAAAAAATAATACATTTAAAGCTAGGTAAACATTTATAAACCCTATTCTATTAAAGAGTTAATGTAAACTGAACAAAGGTTTAAAAAAATTAAAAAGAGAGAACTTTGAAATGAGACAGGATCACTTTAAAATAATTCAGTGGTAGTAATAAAAATGTAGCATTTAACTTGTGATTCATTCATTCATATGTTCATTAAAGCATTTATGGAATACCTTCTATAGTTAGTCATTTTGATAGTCACTAGATAAATAGAAACTTGCATTGTAACAAGAAGTAAAAGGAAATTAGTATTCAGTATGACAGATTAGAAAGCACATAAGGAGGAAATTGTAGTTCAGAGTGATAGGCTCTATAACAAAGGAAGGCACTGCAAAAAAATCTAAACTCATTACCTTGAGATTCAAGTTTTGGCTTTTCACTCATTTTCAGCCATGCTCAGTTTCTTCCCTGCCTTCTCCTGGACCCTTTTCCTCACTGCCTGTGCCA